TACTACTTTGTATTTGTTGAGCAGGAAACATTGAGTGTGCAGCATGAAGCTCGTCCAAGAACTAGTGTGCAGCATGAAGCTCGTCCAAGAACTAGTGTGCAGCATGAAGCTCGTCCAAGAACTAGTGTGCAGCATGAAAAATCGTCCAAGAACTAGTGTGCAGCATGAAGCTCGTCCAAGAACTAGTGTGCAGCATGAAGCTCGTCCAAGAACTAGTGTGCAGCATGAAGCTCGTCCAAGAACTAGTGTGCAGCATGAAGCTCGTCCAAGAACTAGTGTGCAGCATGAAGCACCCCAAGAACTAGGGTGCAGCATGAAGCACCCCAAGAACTAGTGTGCAGCATGAAGCACCCCAAGAACTAGGGTGCAGCATGAAGCACCCCAAGAACTAATGTGCAGCTTGAAGCACCCCAAGAACTAGGGTGCAGCATGAAGCACCTCCAAGGACTACTGTGCAGCATGATGCGCCTCCAAGAACTAGTGTACAGCATGAAGCACCTCCAAAAATTAGTGTGCAGCATGAAGCACCTCCAAGAACTAGTGTACAGCATGAAGCACCTCCAAGAACTAGTGTGCAGCATGAAGCACCTCCAAGAACTAGTGTGCAGCATGAAGCACCTCCAAGAACTAGTGTGCAGCATGAAGCACCCCCAAAAACTAGTGTGCAGCATGAAGCACCTCCAAGAACTAGTGTTCAGCATGAAGCACCTCCAAGAACTAGTGTACAGCATGAAGCACCTCCAAAAATTAGTGTGCAGCATGAAGCACCTCCAAGAACTAGTGTACAGCATGAAGCATCTCCAAGAACTAGTGTGCAGCATGAAGCACCTCCAAGAACTAGTGTGCAGCATGAAGCACCTCCAAGAACTAGTGTGCAGCATGAAGCACCCCCAAAAACTAGTGTGCAGCATGAAGCACCTCCAAGAACTAGTGTGCAGCATGAAGCACCTCCAAGAACTAGTGTGCAGCATGAAGCACCCCCAAAAACTAGTGTGCAGCATGAAGCACCTTCAAGAACTAGTGTGCAGCATGAAGCACCTCCAAGAACTAGTGTGCAGCATGAAGCACCCCCAAAAACTAGTGTGCAGCATGAAGCACCTCCAAGAACTAGTGTGCAGCATGAAGCACCTCCAAGAACTAGTGTGCAGCATGAAGCACCTCCAAGAACTAGTGTACAGCATGAAGCACCTCCAAAAACTAGTGTGCAGCATGAAGCACCTCCAAGAACTAGTGTGCAGCATGAAGCACCTCCAAGAACTAGTGTGCAGCATGAAGCCCCCCCAAAAACTAGTGTGCAGCATGAAGCACCTCCAAGAACTAGTGTGCAGCATGAAGCACCTCTAAGAACTAGTGTGGAGCACGAAGCACCCCCAAGAACTAGTGTGCAGCATGAAGCACCTCCAAGAACTAGTGTACAGCATGAAGCACCTCAAGAACTAGTGTGCAGCATGAAGCACCCCCAAGAACTAGTGTGCAGCATGAAGCACCCCCAAGAACTAGTGTGCAGCATGAAGCACCCCCAAGAACTAGTGTGCAGCATGAAGCACCTCCAAGAACTAGTGTGCAGCATGAAGCACCCCCAAGAACTAGTGTGCAGCATGAAGCACCTCCAAGAACTAGTGTGCAGCATGAAGCACCTCCAAGAACTAGTGTGCAGCATGAAGCACCCCCAAGAACTAGTGTGCAGCATGAAGCCCCTCCAAGAACTAGTGTGCAGCACGAAGCACCCCCAAGAACTAGTGTGCAGCATGAAGCACCCCCAAGAACTAGTGTGCAGCATGAAGCACCTCCAAGAACTAGTGTGCAGCATGAAGCACCTCCAAGAACTAGTGTGCAGCATGAAGCACCTCCAAGAACTAGTGTGCAGCATGAAGCACCTCCAAGAACAAGTGTGCAGCATGAAGCACCTCCAAGAACTAGTGTGCAGCATGAAGCACCCCCAAGAACTAGTGTGCAGCATGAAGCACCTCCAAGAACTAGTGTGCAGCATGAAGCACCTCCAAGAACTAGTGTGCAGCATGAAGCACCTCCAAGAACTAGTGTGCAGCATGAAGCACCTCCAAGAACTAGTGTGCAGCATGAAGCACCCCCAAGAACTAGTGTGCAGCATGAAGCACCCCCAAGAACTAGTGTGCAGCATGAAGCACCCCCAAGAACTAGTGTGCAGCATGAAGCACCTCCAAGAACTAGTGTGCAGCATGAAGCACCTCCAAGAACTAGTGTGCAGCATGAAGCACCTCCAAGAACTAGTGTGCAGCATGAAGCACCTCCAAGAACTAGTGTGCAGCATGAAGCACCCCCAAGAACTAGTGTGCAGCATGAAGCACCTCCAAGAACTAGTGTGGCAGCATGAAGCACCTCCAAGAACTAGTGTGCAGCATGAAGCACCTCCAAGAACTAGTGTGCAGCATGAAGCACCCCCAAGAACTAGTGTGCAGCATGAAGCACCCCCAAGAACTAGTGTGCAGCATGAAGCACCCCAAGAACTAGTGTGCAGCATGAAGCACCTCCAAGAACTAGTGTGCAGCATGAAGCACCTCCAAGAACTAGTATGCAGCATGAAGCACCTCCAAGAACTAGTGTGCAGCATGAAGCACCTCCAAGAACTAGTGTGCAGCATGAAGCACCCCCAAGAACTAGTGTGCAGCATGAAGCACCTCCAAGAACTAGTGTGCAGCATGAAGCTCGTCCAAGATCTAGTGTGCAGCATGAAACTCGTCCAAGAACTAGTGTGCAGCATGAAGCACCTCCCAGAACTAGTGTGCAGCATGAAGCACCTCCAAGAACTAATATGAGCCTGGATTAAGAGAGAAACTTTCTCATCAGTGTTGATGAAGAAAGTCTCTGTGTCGTCTTAACTCATTCAACAACGACTGATGAATTATTTTCTAAAAATTTGTACGTAATGGAGGCCGGAACTGTAGTGGAAAACGTGAACATACACTCACTTTATTTATACAATGGTTTTACAGGGATAAGTTGTGATTTCCTACCATTTTACAAGCTAAGAGCTTCTGTCTATCTGTCTCTCTGTCTCTGTCTCTCTCTCTCTCTCTCTCTCTCTCTCTCTCTCTCTCTCTCTCTCTCTCTCTCTCTCTCTCTCTCTCTCTCTCTCTCTCTCTCTCTCTCTCTCTCTCTCCACTATTGTTAATTTCAATTGGAACACGCCGAGAAGTGAAACATGTGGTGTTTTAATGTGACCTTTGACATCATTGTGTTGATTTGACAGCCACAAGCGGAAGCTGGAAAGTGGTGGATGCTGGATAGCAGGTCAATACTGTGACAGCCAGTGGTGGTAGCTGGCCAGTGTTGCTGGTTAGCAGGTTAATACTGTGAAAACGACTAGTTGTGGTTAGCCAGCGCTTACCGGACCATTGATGGTAACTGGCCTGTGATGTATCTAGCTCTGAAGTTATAGCAATGGGAACCAGTGGCGGTAGCCAGCTACTAACACTGACGACTAGCAGTGGTGGCTGGCCAGTGTTGCTGGCTTAGCAACCAATGGTGGCAGCTGGCAAGTGTAGCCGGCTACCAGGCTACTAACACTGGTCACCAGAGGCAGTAGACAGCCAGTGTAACTTTGCTACCAGGCTACTAACACTGGCGACCTGTGGTGGTCCCCTGACAAGTGTTCGCTAGTTACAAGGTCAACACAGTGACAAGCATCACCCTGACTGATCTGTGAGGGGGAGGAGGGGAGGGACGGTGCTCTAATAATCATGTATTGGTGTCTGGCCTCACCCTCGCTAATGAGACCTACTCACTTTCAAACATATTAGTCCACATTTGCATTTTCAAACCGTCAGGGTCTACACATGCTAATACCGTCTCTTTCTGGTGAAGGGCTCTTGATCCAAGGACTTGAAGTTTACTATTCCTTGGATCAAACCTTCTTGTTCGCCTCCCCTAAGGAATTAAATTTTTATCCCTGAATCTAACGACAAAGAAACAAAAAATGAAGATTTTTTACACTTTCTTTTTTGTCTTGCTTCCATTGAGCGAAAATGATAAATGGTTTTTGAAAACCGACGAGTTGAAGAATTGAGACACTTATGCAACATATGGGAATCTTTACTGAAGAAACGTTTCGCCACACAGTGGCTTCATCAGTCCAATACAAAGTAGAAATGGGTAAGGAGAGGAGGAGTTTGAGGTAATCAGTCCCTCAGCACAGGGCCACCTCTCTGGCCCTCTGCTGTACTTCCTGCAAGAGTGATGGACTGAACACATCGACTCCAGGCTGAGGGACTGATTATCTCAAACTCCTCCTTTCCTTACCCATTTCTACTTTGTATTGGACTGATGAAGCCACTGTGTGGCGAAACGTTTCTCCAATAAAGATTCCCATATGTTGCATTGTCTCAATTCTTCATTGAGCGAAAGGTTTCATGCCCTTTATTCCACTTTTCTAACTCACGAAATAGTGATAAAACGATTTCAAGCAAATTACAGAACTGACGATGTTTGATTTTATGGCGAGTAAGTCCAAAAAGTCACAGGTCATGCGTTCAAATCCCACCCGTTCCTTGGTTTTTCACTCTTCTGTGGTTGGCGGACTGTGGATTGAGCTTCCATCACTGACTCACACAAGCCCAGCTCTTCATCAGACACAATGCGATACAAACCAGACAGTTGTGAAATAAGACACATGTGCAGTGTTGTGATATTTGATCCTAACAGGTGTGCTGCTTCAGAGTTGAATAAGCCATTCGTGGAGAAACGTTTCCTGGGCGAAACGTCCTTATAGACTGCATATGTTTTGAAGATTAAGATACATGTGCACATGTATCTTAATCTTCAAGTTGTCGGTATTTTATAACACTTTCAACAATGCATGTGTCTTATTTCCAGTCCATTCCTTTTGTTGGCTCTCTCTCTCTCTCTCTCTCTCTCTCTCTCTCTCTCTCTCTCTCTCTCTCTCTCTCTCTCTCTCTCTCTCTCTCTCTCTCTCTCTCTCTCTCTCTCTCTCTCTCTCTCTCTCTCTTCTCTCTGTCACTTACCCTGAAATTGTTGCTCATGAAGCAGTAGATGAAGGGATTCATGAAGGAGTTGGCCATGGCTATCCAGTGGCAGGCGAAGAAGCTCATGTAGTAGGTGAAACACTCATGGCCCCGACACTGCGTCATCTCCGGTGCGAAGTAGATGAGGAACTGCAGCACTTGCAGTGGGAACCAACTCAACACGAAGCACACCATCACTGCTATCATCATGTTGATTACCTGAGGTGGAGAGTGAGTGAGAGTGAGTGAGTGAGTGTGTCCATGGGAAAGACAGACAGAAGAGGAATTAGAGGATAACACCTGGGCTACCTGCTAAGAACTGTCTGACTGTATCTAGATTAAGGATTGCCTTGTTATATCTAGGTGTTTCAGGCAAGGATATTAAAGCAACAGTGGAGAGAGAGAGAAAGACCTGCAGACATACAGACAGAGAAACAGAGAGACAGAGAGAGACAGACAGATACAGAGAGATAGAGAAAAAACGAGTAGCAAATAATTTTAATCATTTGAATAAAGACTGGCAGAAATGAGCGAGTAATTTAGGGTTAATAGAGGGAGAAAGAATACAGTGGAAGGTCGCAAATATCTACGAAGGTCCTCAGACACGAAGGTCGTTACAGACGGGAGTCATCACCGAGGCTCACTTAAGACAGAGAAAGGGAATTCACAGGTGTTAATTAAATTCACAGATACGAAGACTAAAGACGAGGCTTATTACAGAGGAAAACGAATAACGCAGAGAATATTCTTCCCTGTGATTCCATTCAATACTCCTCCTTTGTCTGTGTTCTTCCTTCTCTTCGTCTGTAATGATACTCGTCCTTAGCCTTCTTATCTGTGACTTTAATTAATGTCTGTGAATTCCCTTTCTCTGTCTTGAGTGAACCTCTGTGATGACTCCCGTCTGTGATGACTCCAGTCTGTGATGACTCCCGTCTGTGATGACTCCCGTCTGTGATGACGGGAGTAGGCTTTCTCCCTCTATTAACATTATTACTTCCATTCCCGACATCAATTTATCGGCTTTGTGGACCTTTATTAATGGTTGATGAAAAGAAAAGAGAGGTTCAAGTGGAAAACAAATAAATGCGATTAGAAAACATACTCTGTTGTTGTATTTTTATAGTGTGTGTTATATAAGTCATCCTGAAAGACGAAAATTCCAGCAGTGCTGGAGTTACTGTTACCAGTAACTCCAGCACTGCTGGAATGAAAACTTTGAAGCCGTCGTAGGTGCAGAGCTTTAAGTGGAATGGGGAGAAATTGTACATAAGATCAACACGATAGAAATAGATCCACAGTGTAATAATTAATAATAAAGAGATCGCATTACGCTGCATTTGTGTCTTTTATTCATGTCTGGAACACCTGACGACATCCTCATTGGTTTAGTGAAGTCTCCCACCTCGGACTGACAGAGTTCATTACCTGATGTACGTGAGTCGTTCTCAGTAATGGGATATAACAGGGAAAATTTAGCTACCTTTCATTCCCATACGTAGAGTGATATAGCGATACACTTCTCGTGTACCTAATTTTGTTTAATGATAAAAAACTCCTTCTGTGTTCTTTACTTGAACCTCTCTTTCCTTCTCTTCCTCTTGAACCTCTCTTTCTTTCTCTTCCTCTTGAACCTCTCTTTTCTTCTCTTCCTCTTGAACCTATCTTTTCTTCTCTTCAGACTTGAACCTCTTTTTGCTTCTCTTCTTACCTGAACCTCTCTTTCCTTCTTTTCTTACTTGAACCTCTCTTTTCTTCTCTTCTTACTTGAACCTCTCTTTCCTTCTCTCCTTACATGAGCTTCTCTTTTCTTCTCTTCTTACATGAACCTCTCTTTCCTTCTCTCCCTACTTGAACCTCTCTTTCCTTCTCTCCCTACTTGAACCTCTCTTTCCTTCTCTCCCTACTTGAACCTCTCTTTCCTTCTCTCCCTACTTGAACCTCTCTTTCCTTCTCTCCCTACTTGAACCTCTCTTTCCTTCTCTCCCTACTTGAACCTCTCTTTCCTTCTCTCCCTACTTGAACCTCTCTTTCTCTCTCTCCCCTTTTCCCCCACTTGAATCTCTCTTTCCTTCTCTCCCTACTTGAACCTCTCTTTCCTTCTCTCCCTACTTGAACCTCTCTTTCCTTCTCTCCCTACTTGAATCTCTCTTTCCTTCTCTCTCTACTTGAACCTCCGTTTCCTTCTCTCCTTACTTGAACTTCTCTTTCCTTCTCTTCTTACTTGAACCTCTCTCTTCTTTTCTTCAAACTTGAACCTCTCTCTTCTTCTCTTCATACTTGAACCTCTCTTTCCTTCTCTCCTTACATGAACCTCTCTTTTCTTCTCTTCAGACTTGAACCTCTCTTTCCTTATCTTCTTACTTGAACCTCTCTTTCCTTCTCTCCTTACTTGAACCTCTCTCTTCTTTTCTTCAAACTTGAACCTCTCTCTTCTTCTCTTCATACTTGAACCTCTCTTTTCTTCTCTTTTTACTTGAACCTCTCTTTCCTTCTCTTCTTACTTGAACCTCTCTTTCCTTCTCTCTCTACTTGAACCTCTCTTTCCTTCTCTCACTACTTGAACCTCTGTTTCCTTCTCTCCCTACTTGAACCTCTCTTTCCTTCTCTCACTACTTGAACCTCTCTTTCCTTCTCTCCCTACTTGAACCTCTCTTTCCTTCTCTCCTGACTTGAACCTCTCTTTCCTTCTCTCCCTACTTGAACCTCTCTTTCCTTCTCTCCTCACTTGAACCTCTCCACTAATCCTTGTATCCCTTCATGTTCATTGATCCTTCCTCACCCTCCTACTTCATTCTTTTCCACCCTCACACCTTGACCCTTTTCTCACCCTCCTATCTTGAGCTTTCTCATTCTCCTATGTTAACCTTTTTTTTTTTTCAATCTATTACTTTGACCATTATTCACCCTCCTATCTTACTCCTCTTCTCCACTCCGGTCTTAATCCTTATTCACCCACTCACGACCACCTCTCCTCTCACCTTGACCTTGGCGTGGAGGTGCTGCTGGTCTCTGGAGGGCTCAGCGTTGCCTGGGATCCTGTAGGAGCACATCATGCCAACAATGGAGAGGTAGGTGTATCCCAGACCCAGCACGGGCAGGGCGAACGTCAACACAAAGAGCACCACAGTGTACGTTTTCTCGTAGAGTTCGTTCTGTGTCTTGGGCCAGTTCTCCTTACACTCGTAGTACCACCTGCATCAGAAATGACCTTCGCTGTATTTATAGGGAAGCATTAATCATCGTCCCTTACCCACCTTCCTTACCAAAATCTATGGTTACTAATCCTTGTATCCTTACACGACTTATGTCATCTCCCACCCAAATCTTGCCACACTCAACACCATTGTTAACGAGAAGCTACTAAAACTATCTACTTGGATGACAGCCAATAAACTTACACTTAACACTGCCAAAACCTATATTATGTTTGATAACAGAGTAGGTACTGCACAACTTAACGTTAAGATCGACAACACTCTTATTGCCAAACATAATGAGGGCAAATTCCTGGGCCTACACCTCAACAACAACCTGAATTTCAGCACCCATATCCAACACATATAAAAAAAAGAAGTGTCCGAAACGGTTGGGATCCTCTTTAAGATACGTTACTACGTGCCACAATCAGCCCTTCTCACACTATACCATTTACTCATCTATCCCTACCTCACCTATGCTATTTGTGCCTAGGGATCAACTGCAGCAACACACCTAAAGCCAATAATAACCCAACACAAAACCGCAGTAAGAATAATCACGCAATCCAATTCCAGGCAACCCCCCCCCCACTCTTCATAGATCTAAACTTACCCACTGTACAGAACATCCACACTTACTCCCGTGCAACCTACATTTACAGAACTTTCAATTCCAATATTAACCCTGACCTAAAACACTTTCTTGATAGTTGTGACAGAACCCAGAGGCATAACACTAGGCACAAAAATCTCTGTGACATTCCCCATGTCCGGCTAAACCTATACAAAAAATCAATATACTTATATAAAAGGACCTAAAATCTGGAACGCCCTACCTGAAAACTCTAGAACTGCAGACACAATCATCACTTTCAAAACTACCGTAGAAAACATCTTATCTCCCTGACACACCCCACCGTCAGCTAACTACATGAAAACTGCCAATCTCTTGTATCATACACACATAAAAAAAACCTAGACCTACACTCGATATCTGTGATTCTCCACAATTCACACCTACACTCACCCAATTGACTATAAACATGGAAATACGTAATAAAACTATTACCTAATGCATCTTAAACTAGTCATAAGTTTGCCTGAGATACTCTAATATAGGAGCTTCAATAGAAACTATGTATCGTACTAAGACAAAACCATTCATACTGCTAAATTTAACAACTGTAATGCAGGTACTTAGCCTTAATATCAACACGCTCCATAATCTGCACCAATATAGTTTTGAATTAATCTTAGTCTGCCCGAAATGAGTAGTCATGCTAGGTGTGATAGTGATTCTCTCTGTAATTAGTATTTTATAATATGTGAACCACACAATATCGTATAAAATGTAAACCCCACATTGTAATCTTTATATAGAATAAACTTGAGTGATTGATTGATTAATTAAGGAAGCACTTAAGAATCTGGGTCCCCCCTGGTGAGGTCCCCCCTGGTGAGGTCTCCCCTGGTGAGGTCTCCCCTGGTGAGGTCTCCCCTGGTGAGGTCTCCCCTGGTAAGGTCTCCCCTGGTGAGGTCTCCCCTGGTGAGGTCTTCCCTGGTGAGGTCTCCCCTGGTGAGGTCTCCCCTGGTGAAGTCTCCCCTGGTGAGGTCTCCCCTGGTGAGGTCTCCCCTGGTGAGGTCTCCCCTGGTGAGGTCTCCCCTGGTAAGGTCTCCCCTGGTAAGGTCTCCCCTGGTAAGGTCTCCCCTGGTGAGGTCTCCCCTGGTGAGGTCTTCCCTGGTGAGGTCTCCCCTGGTGAGGTCTCCCCTGGTGAAGTCTCCCCTGGTGAGGTCTCCCCTGGTGAAGTCTCCCCTGGTGAGGTTTCCCCTGGTGAAGTCTCCCCTGGTGAGGTCTCCCCTGGTGAGGTCTCCCCTGGTGAGGTCTCCCCTGGTGAGGTTTCCCCTGGTGAAGTCTCCCCTGGTGAGGTCTCCCCTGGTGAGGTCTCCCCTGGTGAGGTCTCCCCTGGTGAGGTCTCCCCTGGTGAAGTCTCCCCTGGTGAGGTCTCCCCTGGTAAGGTCTCCCCTGGTAAGGTCTCCCCTGGTGAGGTCTCCCCTGGTGAGGTCTCCCCTGGTAAGGTCTCCCCTGGTGAAGTCTCCCCTGGTAAGGTCTCCCCTGGTAAGGTCTCCCCTGGTGAAGTCTCCCCTGGGAAGGTCTCCCCTGGTAAGGTCTCCCCTGGTGAGGTCTCCCCTGGTGAAGTCTCCCCTGGTAAGGTCTCCCCTGGTGAGGTCTCCCCTGGAGAGGTCTCCCCTGGTAAGGTCTCCCCTGGTAAGGTCTCCCCTGGTAAGGTCTCCCCTGGTGAGGTCTCCCCTGGAGAGGTCTCCCCTGGTAAGGTCTCCCCTGGTAAGGTCTCCCCTGGTAAGGTCTCCCCTGGTGAGGTCTCCCCTGGTGAGGTCTCCCCTGGTAAGGTCTCCCCTGGTAAGGTCTGACCCTGGTAAGGTCTCCCCTGGTAAGGTCTCCCCTGGTATGGTCCCCCCTGGTGAGGTCTCCCCTGGTATGGTCTCCCCTGGTAAGGTCTCCCCTGGTAAGGTCTCCCCTGGTAAGGTCTCCCCTGGTAAGGTCTCCCCATGTAAGGTCTCCCCTGGTGAGGTCTCCCCTGGTAAGGTCTCCCCTGGTAAGGTCTCCCCTGGTAAGGTCTCCCCTGGTGAGGTCTCCCCTGGTAAGGTCTCCCCTGGTAAGGTCTCCCCTGGTAAGGTCTCCCCTGGTAAGGTCTCCCCTGGTAAGGTCTCCCCTGGTAAGGTCTCCCCTGGTAAGGTCTCCCCTGGTAAGGTCTCCCCTGGTAAGGTCTCCCCTGGTGAGGTCTCCCCTGGTAAGGTCTCCCCTGGTAAGGTCTCCCCTGGTAAGGTCTACCCTGGTAAGGTCTCCCCTGGTAAGGTCTCCCCTGGTAAGGTCTACCCTGGTAAGGTCTCCCCTGGTAAGGTCTCCCCTGGTAAGGTCTCCCCTGGTGAGGTCTCCCCTGGTGAAGTCTCCCCTGGTAAGGTCTCCCCTGGTAAGGTCTCCCCTGGTGAGGTCTCCCCTGGTGAGGTCTCCCCTGGTAAGGTCTCCCCTGGTAAGGTCTCCCCTGGTAAGTTCTCCCCTGGTAAGGTCTCCCCTGGTGAGGTCTCCCCTGGTAAGGTCTCCCCTGGTAAGGTCTCCCCTGGTAAGGTCTCCCCTGGTAAGGTCTCCCCTGGTATGGTCCCCCCTGGTGAGGTCTCCCCTGGTAAGGTCTCCCCTGGTAAGGTCTCCCCTGGTAAGGTCTCCCCTGGTAAGATCTCCCCTGGTAAGGTCTCCCCTGGTGAGGTCTCCCCTGGTAAGGTCTCCCCTGGTAAGGTCTCCCCTGGTAAGGTCTCCCCTGGTGAGGTCTCCCCTGGTAAGGTCTCCCCTGGTGAGGTCTCCCCTGGTGAGGTCTCCCCTGGTAAGGTCTCCCCTGGTGAGGTCTCCCCTGGTAAGGTCTCCCCTGGTAAGGTCTCCCCTGGTAAGGTCTCCCCAGGTAAGGTCTCCCCTGGTAAGGTCTCCCCTGGTAAGGTCTCCCCTGGTATGGTCTCCCCTGGTAAGGTCTCCCCTGGTAAGGTCTCCCCTGGTAAGGTCTCCCCTGGTAAGGTCTTCCCTGGTAAGGTCTCCCCTGGTATGGTCTCCCCTGGTAAGGTCTCCCCTGGTAAGGTCTCCCCTAGTAAGGTCTCCCCTGGTAAGGTTCCCTGGTAAGGTCTCCCCTGGTAAGGTCTCCCCTGGTAAGGTCTCCCCTGGTAAGGTCTCCCCTAGTAAGGTCTCCCCTGGTTAGGTCTCCCCTGGTAAGGTCTCCCCTGGTAAGGTCTCCCCTGGTAAGGTCTCCCCTGGTAAGGTCTCCCCAGCTAAGGTCTACCCTGGTAAGGTCCCATCTGGTAAGGTCTCCCCTGGTAAGGTCTCCCCTGGTAAGGTCTCCCTTAGTAAGGTCTCCCCTGGTAAGATCTCCCCTGGTAAGGTCTCCATCTGGTAAGGTCTCCCCTGGTAAGGTCTCCCCTGGTAAGGTCTCCCCTGGTAAGGTCTCCCCTGGTAAGGTCTCCCCTTGTAAGGTCTCCCCTGGTAAGGTCTCCCCTGGTAAGGTCTCCCCTGGTAAGGTCTCCCCTGGTAAGGTCTCCCCTGGTAAGGTCTCCCCTAGTAAGGTCTCCCCTGGTAAGTTCTCCCCTGGCAAGGTCTCCCCTGGTAAGGTCTCCCCTGGTAAGGTCTCCCCTGGTAAGGTCTCCCCTGGTAAGGGAAACGTTTAAGACGTTACCTGATTTGTTTTAATTTCCTCCAACTTTTCGAGACGCTTCACACAATCAACTTTAAATTTTCAGCATCCTCCAGTGGCTCGGATAACTTCCGTAATCCTCAGTGGCATAGTTTAAACGTTCAAAAAAGTTGTCTCCTAATTGGACATTCGCAGAGAGCGACATTTAGTCAAGCAGGTGCAGCAGATTTGATTATTTCATGTTTTTTATTCACCTTAAATCACTTTACTTAAATTTCAGGTTACCTCTCCTGAACGACTCACGAAATTGTAATGACACATTTGCAAAGAAACCATAACACGGGTGGGTTAGAACCAAAGAATGGTTCCTCTCGTTGCCTTCACAACAAGATGGAGAGATGGAGAAGGGATGAAGAAAGAGAGAGAGAGAGAGAGAGAGAGAGAGAGAGAGAGAGAGAGAGAGAGAGAGAAACAGAGAGAGGGGAATGAAACTAAGGAAGAGCCGGAGGGCGAATCTAATTCCCACTTAATCGACGTCACGACGGCTGACTGGCTAATCAGCAGCAATCTTGACCCGACCACTGATGGATCTGACTTCCCACCCTGATTGCCTTAGCCCGTCACAGGGAGGAAATTAACCGGACTTCCAGGATTCATATCCGGCTGACTGATCTTCACTTTACAGCCGACAGTGAAAACCTTCCATATTAATTTGTGATTAAACCTGCGTTTTTTGCCACTGTCACAAGTAAATTCGAACACCAAAAAAAAAAAAAAACGCTTATTTATTACTTTCATTGTCACGTGCATA